GAACTAATACGTGAAAACACTGGAAATCACACACACAAATGATTTGAGGGGCAATCCTCTTAGAGCGGATCGCCAATGCCATGTTCATTAGCATATTGACCGTGAAAATATCGAAAACATTATTGCATGGGTGATATGCAAATTAGTTTTAGTCAAAATAAGTGACTGCCTAGAAGTACCATTATTGTTGTTCAAATTTCATTTCACTCGGCAAGTATATTCATGTACCCCAAGGGTAAAATATCGCACTTCTAAATATTGTTTATTCCTGCTATGTTTCGAAAACGCTACTCTTCAAAGAACTACTTTGTTTGCATATGGGGTGTGGAAATACCGATTTCATAGACGAATCAAAATAAACTGCAGTACATTTGTAATAATGTGGTATACTTCATTTCTACTGAAAACGTTTTCCCCTGAAATAAATTCCAGTGAAAATGCCATTTACCTCATACTCCTTTGAGACACAGCACAGAAAAAATCGGATTCACATGTAATGCTTGAAAACGTTTCAGCGAAAATAAATTTCATAAGAGTTGAAATGAACAAATTATGTGACACCCGACCCTACCACTCCACACACAATGTAAACTATATCCCAAAACATCCTTTCACTCACGGTTTCACCAGTGCATTCTATTTGACTTCAAAAGAAATTGCAATAAAAAAATTATTTAATGATAATTTCAGCCTCTAGTTCAGCACTGATTAAATAAACTATCTCGTCTTCATGCCAACTTGAAGTTATCATTCATTGCCTACATCAGTGACTTCAAAATACATGTTTCAATCCCAGGAATTTCACTTGCTATTAATTGCATGGGACTGCCAGTCTTCCATGATTTTCTATTGTAATATCAATTTTGCGATTACTCTGAACATGAAGCTGTAACCACAGACCGTCCTTGTATAAGCACCGGTTAGGCAGGCTTGAACTATGCATGTGAAGCCAGCCGAGAGGTATATTCAATCCTATAGATTTCTCATTGTTTGGTAACTATTTGCTGCAAATGCAACAAAAATCAATATAAAAATATTACCCACACAGCATTCTACAGGTTACTTGTTGCATATAGAGATTGTTTTCTGGGTTATTTCCCATTGTGTTGGTTTATAAATTACAAGTTTAAATAATCCAATCTTTGTTTTAGCAGCTGTGAAAAAAGGGGAGAGTGTATTGTTTAGATTTCTAACTATATTTTATTTTATCATTTCCAGGTTCACGAGTGGTATCACTGTTAAATAACCATGACGACAGCAGCTCCGAACTTCACCGACTTCGGAAACTATACGGAAATCGTGTCACGCGCAAGGCCGCAATGCCACTTTGAGAGTAAAGAGGCCGAGTTCGTTTTTTATACTATTTCGTGTGGCGTTGCTTTAGTTGGAAACTTTGCCTTCTTCATGGTAGTTATCAAAGTAAAGTCCATGCGAACCGTACCCAACGTGTTTTTCATGAATTTGTCGTTGGCCGATGCTATATTCATGGCGTACTATGTGATTTATCTATCGGCCTATAAATGGCAGATCAAGTCCGTATTGCTGTTCCACAGTGGAGGAGGGCATGCCATAACGGACGTAGGATTTTGCTCGTCGTTGCTGACTGTCGCACTGATCAGCATCAACCGATATGTGGCGATATGCTACCCATTCAAAGCGGAAAAGCTTCGGTTGCAAAGCCGATCGAGAGTTGTTGCTTCGATCACGATTTCTTGGATTTTTAGCATCGCCATTGGCCTTCTCGACTTTTTCGCTTACGGAAGCGAGTACCAGGAAACGCTGATCGTCGTTCTACTCTCTCTAATGTTCATCTGCATCATTTTCTCCATCGCCGTTGTCGTAGTAACCTACGTGGTGATTGCCACCAAGATGATGAAGAAGAAGCCGCGTTACGCACCGGCCGCTAACAACGGAAACTCCTACATTTCGGAAGAAATTCACGTACTGTTGCTATGCGTGGCGATAACTGCCATCTTCGTCATCAGCTGTGCGCCCCTGGCAACAGTGTACATCGTTGCTACCGTTAACAAGGCAATCGGCAGACGGTCCATACCCTTGGAAAAAATCATGTGTCTATCGTACGTCGCCCGACTGATGCTGTCACTACATTTTACGCTGAATCCGATTCTGTACAACATCGGTAGCAGGAATCACCGAGCAGCGTTTCGAAAAGTGTTCTGGCCGAGAAAGAGGCATCCGCCTGTGAACTCCATATATCGAGATGTTGACCCTTCACCTTTGAACTCGTCAAATATGAGCATGACGATGTCCACCTACGGTGAAAGGTCGGTCCTCGCCACATCAAATAATTCACTTTGAGACCGAGTCTTTCTATCTCCCACGAATATGCGATCAGCAAATAAAAGACTTTTAACTTGTAATCTCTCGTAGACTACGAAGTATTTGCTGTACTTTATTGTCGGTGTACTGCATTTCATTCACGTAATACGTTAAGGCTAACACTATGCTTATCAAATTTACGTGGTCGAATATTTATCCCGGCGTTTGTGCAACTATGTACCCCGCACGAAAACAATTTACATTTTTATACCAATCAAGTGAAAACGTATACTGAGAATTAATATTCAAAATCTGTGATTTTACGAAATGAAGAATCATTGCCACCTGGCGCCTAGCAGGGAAAACGAGTATATCTGTGCCACAGTGAAGGTGTCATCTATTCTGTCGCATATAACATGCCGGTAATCACTCGTCGCTGGGAAAGTGAGTTTACAATGTGAAAAAAAAGCTGAAAAACATTGTTTGATAATCAATCAGTCAATCAGTGAAGTGGTGATGACGTTTACTCGCCTTATTACTTAGTATACGCGACTAAAGTAAAACCCATCGACGATTTGCGTTTAATCAGACAATTTCAAGCCATCATGTCTTGTACCCTATAATACAGGTGCGAAGTTGATGTGGATGCATTATGGGCTGAATACCGATATATTCAAAACAGGTGCAGCTAACTTGCGTCATCATTGGAGTAAACAGAAATGTCATATAAATGCCAGGTGACAACTAGTTGGCAACGCTCACATCCAATTTCGGATTGGTTATTAACATAACCTGTACGTTGTTACCGAGAAATTGGACACTAGTACTACGGGTAATTACCCCCACCTCGAAACTGTTCTTAGATACATATAAGAATAAATCTCTGGTTTATCTTGAATTATTATAGTTGCAAAATATTGCCTAAATATACAACATCAGAAACGCACAGTGACATGTCAATTACAGTTATGTCTGCGTTTGTTTGAAATCGCCGACAGTACAGTAACCCTAGTTTATGCGCGTGTCTATCAAACTGAGGTATTTTCCAAATGAACTATCAATCAACCTTAAATTTATAATTACTTTGAAACTCTATGTGTTGTGTTCGACAGTTTATACATTAATAACTACTGGAATCCGTTATCGCTGTGTCGGTGTTTAATTACTTATTCGTGCACACGTTCGGATGACGAAACTTAAAAAAAAATATTGACATTTATTATGATGTTGTTTTGTAACATTTTACCGTCACAATGCTGCCATGTCTTTCAATAGCAAGATGGTAAGTCAGCTAATCACTAAATTCGCGTTAAGGCGTGATGCGGTTGATACTGACTACACCTTGTTTTAAATAGTTCATATCTTCTATAGTCGGATGTCGTAGATAGGCGTTATTATATTCGCTCGTCGCAAGATGCGACTGTGCCCTGTTTGACACCACTGTGTCAATTATATTTCCCGTTACGGTGAATGGTGCCGTTCTGTGGTTATCGTTGTATTTGATCGATAGGACATGACCCCCAAGGAAGTAGCCAGCGGTTACGATTCCCATCTTGAGTTTGCAAGATATTTAGAAATCAAGTAAGATGGAAATCAAATCGTATTGTAACCTTGTCGGCTAATTCTCAAGTAGATGAGTAGTTTTCTCGTGTTTTTTTTTCCAAGGATGTCTGGCAAATTGATCTTACATGTTTTCATCTTTATACACCATCGGGACGTTTCAATTACTCATGATGTTAAAAATCTTTCTTAAGGGAAAATAATAATCAGCACATGCCAATTATTTTCAACGGAAACAACCTAAGGACGTTTGTATGATTCACAATTTGACAACTGAAGTATATAATATTCTAAACCGGAAACACTGATAAATCGCCTGAAATGAGGTGTGACGCGGGGTTTTGCGTGTGACCCACTATTCGGTCCCTGATATAATTTATATAAGTTATATTTAATAATACATGTCTCAACTTGTAAATACAGAATTTCATATATTAAAGCGCGGTAGTCGTCGCGCTGCGCATGTGCGACATTTGTGATGATAAACATTGATTTTCCCACAATTTAATGCGTTCTTCAAATGGAAATCACAAGTATGAGGTTTGACCTGGGCGCGACTTGCACTGATTACCGACGGTGACTCCTTCCAATCACATGAAAATTGCCTAATTAAAGCTTGGAAACGTCTCAGTTAGTTGATCTGCGCAACAGTCAAAGTCGCCATCTTTGTTTATATGAGACCCATATATCTCGCACATGCGCAGCGCGACGACTACCGCGCTTTAACTTTTCAATGCACGCAATCTGGTTGAAATGATTGTGCGAAGTTTTAAGATCGTATTCCTGGCACTGACCAGCTGATTGATTGAGTGTTGTGGATGTGGATAATTTCCATAGCTCTGTCCGTAGTTTTGTATAATATTCAATTTCATGTGTATTCCACATTGTTTACATCACGGTGTTTATTTTCTACACGTATCTTCTTTGTGACGCGTCACTTCATTGAATGGCGGATTGATTCTTATCATGACTGTGAATAACAACCGAACTTCTTTCCAAGCCGAGAGTTATTAAATGTCTCAGGCTGGCGACAAATGTGATGTTTCAGTTTCAAAAAATCGTTGTCTCATATTTCGGTTGTAAATCTTTTGGGGGTAGTGGATTTTTTTCAATACATTTTATTTATGAATGTAATTTTGTATTAAAAACAATACGTACTGACGATGGAATTGGAAGATGCATTATCGCACTATGAAAGTTTTGTTTTTATTTTAATTTATTAACAAAAATAAATATAATGGATTCATTTGTTTTCTTCAATTTGTTCTGATATAAATTAAGGTTATGTATAGAAAGCATTGTTCACTGTGATATATGGTTAGGTGGCGTGTGTGTGACCTGGTTTGATTACCAGAAAGTATGTCCCTGGCCCACAACTGACCAAAAAACTGGGAAAATCGACGAGTGAAACAAAATAATGTGTTTTACTCAAAACGAGCTTCGATTCCGTAAATCATCATTGGTAAGACAACATTGCTATTTCTGGTTACCATCATGATGTCTGTCTATTCTATTACATATCTCAATCTAAATATTAACATTCAGGTCCCGGAGTGGGGCAGTTATGGTTGTGCCTTTTTGTTATGCAACACAAAATACTAAAAGCCTGTTTCACATTTAATGTGCATAAGACCTGCCCAATTTAACTGTTTTTGTTTGTTGAATAAAAAAGATTTGATTCGCTTTCACACAGTCAAGACGTCGTGGATTTACTTAAAGCGCCCTCTTTTCTTTGGAATACAGATTTAGCTACATCAGATATGTCCAAGATGGCGGCCTCGACGTGTTCTTTCTCCTCGAAGTTTGTCTGTATTTTCGTAACAAATCTCGACGAAGACGTAATTTGCATCATCGTTCTGAAGTTCTCCCAACTAATTAGAGTGGTGGAGAGTGGGCACAACATCTGTTCAATTTGATTAGCTCGGGCTAAGCACCCAAAACGCTAACGTTAGTACCTTCCATGGTTAAAAGTACCACATTACTGAAGATTCGTACATTTTAACGTTTGGGCATTCCTTAGCCCGTGCTAACTGTTGTTCTCTCCCGTGCATTAACGCAATGGCCGATATGCAAATATACTTAGCCCGTACTTGATGTACCCTGTGAACACGACTATCGGTGTTTGATCTTAATTATTAAACTGAGTAACAGATCGTCGTATGTATGGGTCTATTTCAAGGCGTACGTGAGTGTTATGTTGGTGATTAATTTCCTTCACAATTATACTTATTATAATGCTTGGGGATATTCTTACTGCTATTTTTATTTTATTTTTGTTATTGCCGTTCATTACTATATTTTCATTTATCCCATTTATATTTCCATTTGCTGATTTGTATTTCAAAGTTTTTTTTTAGTTTTGTGGGTTTTTTCATTTTACTTGTCATTTTCATATTTTATTGTCGTTCATTATTATTAACAAAAAGTTTCTATTATGTTTTTATTTATCTTTTTATATTTTCATTAATGAGCGTTCTAAATGATTAATTTCTACAAGTTTAGTGTAGCCGATAAGGCAGTAGGCAACCAGAATTGGTGGAATCACGGTGGTTGTGGTCGCTTTGCTGAACAAGGACCAGAACGTCGACATTGCAAGGTGGCACAGCGTTAAAGATCACCTGTCTCGATGAGACATCCATTCTATCAATTGTCCTGTTTGCAATTGATGTTTCTAAGACGGCTGAGAAATAGCTAGAATCCATGTTAGAAGTAAAGCATTATCGAATTTTTACGATAACAATCCGCGCGTTAAGTTGTGGTCACCATTTCGTCATGCGAATCACTTTCCCAAACCGTGTACTTTAAATTGCAATTTTCTACAAAATCGCTAAAATTGACCTTTTAAGGTTAAGACTTTGGATGATCCATATCTTAAACTAATTTCTCAGTGCATTCACGAATGGTATACATATACTAATTAATTCCGCTCTATGGCGATTGTAATAACGTTTAGTTCAATTTCACTGAATTGATTTATGACGTCATACATATTGGTAGAATACCTCACAAGTGAACTTATAATGCCATATTCATCATTAAACAGGTACAACATTTTCCATTATTATACCATGACAGCCAATCAGATATTACAGATGACATATTCGTGAGTCGACCTGCTGCCATATTCGTATGTCTACCTCCATCCGAGTATCTTTACCTGATTTATGTCAATAATTTGTCAGGAGAACACGATACGCGGCAATATTCGAGAACTGATTGGTTTGCCAGGTTTACGTTCATTATTTGACTATCTTACTAAAAAAATTCGATTTTGTAGCGATTTCGCGTCAAGCTTGCCTTCGATCTGCGATTGCGTAGTTCGTCTACCTAAATAATCTACGAGCCGTGGGCTTTGCCGTGCGACGAAACCGTTTTGTTTGATTTTGTTCCATATTTGTGTGTGTTTTGACAGTATGTCGACATATTATGTACAGTGTATTTGTTGAAATAGAATGGTGTTGACATAAACCTATACTGAA